TCAGAGTATCTGACTTTGTTTTGTTTTCCTTTTCAACATAAATGTGTGATTCAGAGTTTTATCTTGATATCTTATCACAGAGTCCAACGATTCTCATTTCTTATTGGTAATACTTTTTCTTTGGGTGTAATAGGTCCATTTATGTTGGCTGATGTGGACCAAACATATACCATGAACATGACCTTAAAATGCTTACAGCATATATTTGGAAACTCTTGATTGCTATAGGACATTTTATTTTTTATAAAGGTTTTTTTTTTTGGCAAGTTGATAAAGAAAACACCATGTGAATTTTATAAAGCGATTTTAATAATACCCTACCTTTGCACTACCTTGCACCTATATGGTACCCTTAACAATTCCACACGCTATGAGACAATGAAAATACTTTTTTTCTTTTTTTTTTTCGTTTGACTTGAGAAAACAGGAAATTAAATATGACACTTTGAATATAAAGAACTGTTGTTGTCAAGCATCAACTTAAGTGCCATCCTGTCAATATTATCATTTTCCTCATCCCATATTATTTGCTAAAATTCAAGTTTTCAAAACTTTCTTGTGTAAAATAAATAAAAAAGTATGGCTTTCAATCCATTGTTTTTATGATAAAATAAAAAAAAATAGCTCATAGTTTCATATTGTAGTCTTATTACTAAACATAAAAGCAATTCTATAGACATGCAAGCCACACTAGTAAACTAAAAGTAAAATACTTAAAAAATGGTCATCTATTTAAAAAATTATTATTTTATTATTATTAATCAAATTTTTATATTATTATTTTGAGTTAAATAAGTCATTAGTATTGTTAGTTGATTAATTGTAACTAATTAAAATGACATATTATTTTGCATCGCGTGATATTGACTTATCATAACGGATAGTAACATAATATATTGATGTAGTATGATGAGGGGGTTAGATAATAATTTCACTTTTCATTATGATAATCAACATGTCATGTTAGTACCAAGTGAAAGTAAAATTATAAATATTATTTTAATTAATGATAATTAATTAATTATTAATTATAAAATAATTTATTTGAGTTAAAATAAAAATATAAAATTTAATTAAATATAATTAAAAAATAAAAATTATTTAATCACATTTTTCTTACGGGGTTTTATGTCTTTGACCGATGACTTGGCCTTGCCCTTGAGGCAATGTCTTGAGCATTATTAGCACACTTCCATTAATTTTGATCAGCGACTATGCTTATAAGCTACGTGGTGATATTACTGCCTCTATTTTTATTTTTTGTTTTCTCTTTCATCTTTAACCAAATTTACAACTGTGACAAATGTGATTTTGTCAAAGAACAAAAGAACAAAGGAAAGGTGGCGTATTGGCAATAGCCAACAAAACCGCAAAGTTTGAATTGTCTTACAGTTGTTTGGCGTGTTGGTAAATTGAACAGGATCATGGCTGCACTGTGGTTACCACTTGTCGACATCAATAGTTGCACCGCCGCTTCTCAGTCTCCCATTTGCTTTCACCTTCCTCGGATGGGCCGCCGGAATTTTCTGTCTGGTGATCGGAGCTCTGGTCACTTTCTACTCCTACAATCTGCTGTCTCTTGTCCTTGAACACCATGCTCAATTGGGTCGTCGACATCTTCGTTTCAGAGACATGGCCAATGACATCTTGGGTAAGCACTTGAAAATTAATAATCTAATAATCAATTCTTTGAATAATATTATTTATTAAATTACATGAAAAGAAAAAACAAAAAGCTATACACCAAAGAAATTGCTTCTTCATTTGCATTATTGAAACAGTTGTCCTCCTCAATGTCAGTTGTACTAAGTATCTAAATAAACACACATAAATGCCTGTAGCCAAGCCTGACCATAGACCCCTCCTCCCTTGTCATAATTTAATGTGTCATATATGTAGTACCCCATTAAATACCATTACACCTGTGAAATGGTGAATGGTGCAAATTTAAGGGGTACACTTTCTAATGTTTCTCAAAATTGACCGATTGATGAAAGTGGTGGACACTAGGGGTCCAATTCCATGGAGTATGCCAATACCAATTGAAGGCCTCTATCTTATCCGGGCAAACATGTATGATTGCGGTATGCAACATATATTTTTTATTTAAAAATCCCATATGATTTTACCAACCTTATAGAATAATATAGAACAAATTAAAAAAAGCTCTCTTTTTTCTTTAATCTTTTAAGTTTTCTTCATTTTTTTCTCTTTTCTTCCCCTACCTCTTTCTTTTTTAATAAAAGAAAAAGAAATTCTGTTGAAATTGTAATTTCTTGACTTGACAACTGTAAAGCAGTTGTAGTCCCAGAGTCAATGATGATAGGTGTATCTTCGGTATGGTGGAGTTAGGCATCTTTCTTTGCAGCCTGGGGTCAACAGCCTTTTCACACATTGACTGATTCTGCAGCCATTTGCCCTCTTGCAGTTTGCCTGTTTGCTCAGCTTCCTTTCATTAGCCAAGTAGGCCTTAAAAGTCCACATTACACGAGCAAAGAAATAGTTAGAATTAAACTTCGGCAGTCGACCTTTTTGACTTTTTGTCCAATTTTATGAACAATCATGTACTTTGTTTATTTATTAAAAATAAATACGCTTTATTGGTTCGACCCATAAATGCACATATGACACATCCATGCAAGGAGATGAACATTATGCTATACCGACTGCTTGGTAATGATTTAAGTAATGTGCAGGGCCAAGATGGGGTCGTTATTATGTTGGACCAATTCAATTCATGGTCTGCTATGGTGCTGTCATTGCCTGCACTCTTCTTGGTGGACAATGTATGAAGGTCAGCTCCAAGTCTCATCATTTTTCCATTTGTAGAATTTCTAGTTCTTAAAAGTTGCTGCTATTAACTATATAATTAAGTTGTTGAGTTTTCCAAATTCTTTTTTCCAATATCTGGCAGGCAATTTACTTACTATCAGACCCAAATGGGAGTATGAAGCTTTACGAATTTGTGATTATATTTGGAGTCCTGATGCTGATATTAGCTCAAATCCCATCTTTTCACTCATTAAGGCATATTAACTTGATATCCTTGATTCTATGCCTAGCCTATAGCGCCTGTGCTACTGCTGGTTCCATACATATAGGTAATTCTGCACACTACTAACTCATTGCACTATCAGTTTGATGAATAATTATACCTAATAGTTTGTATTACTCTTTCCAGGGAATTCATCCAAGGGGCCAAAAAAAGATTATAGCGTGAAAGGTGACACAGAAAGCCGGATTTTCGGGATCTTCAATGCCATTGCCATTATTGCCACAACTTATGGCAATGGTATCATTCCAGAAATTCAGGTTCCTCATAATTTTTCCAAACCGTTTCGGTTTCAGATTACTCATTGCTGCAATACTGTCTGCATAAACGTAATTGTAATGATTAAATGCTGTTATAAAGGTAACAAACTTTTGTGTATAAATTTGATTTCAGGCAACGATTGCACCACCAGTGAAAGGGAAGATGTTCAAAGGATTATGTGTTTGCTATACAGTGCTTACAGTGACTTTCTTCAGTGTTGCAATATCTGGTTATTGGGCGTTTGGCAACGAATCTGAAGGCCTTCTACTCAGCAATTTCTTGGATGATGGGAGACCTTTGGTGCCGAAATGGTTCATCTTGATGACAAACATCTTCACCATTTTCCAACTATCAGCAGTTGGTGTTGTGAGAACCTACATTCCCTTTCACCCCTTCTTTTTCATTGTTCATATATTTGGTAAATTCGTTCAATAACGCGGTTGTCTGTCACAGGTCTACTTGCAGCCAACAAACGAAGTGCTTGAAAGAACTCTTGCAGATCCAAGTAGCAAAGAATTCTCTGCCCGTAATGTTATCCCAAGGGTAGTTTCTAGATCATTGTCTGTTGTTATAGCAACAACAATTGCAGCAATGCTTCCATTTTTCGGAGACATCAATTCTGTCATTGGAGCTTTTGGTTTCATGCCTCTCGACTTCATATTACCTGTTGTTTTCTTCAACTTGACATTTAAGCCATCGAAGCGGAGTCCCATTTTTTGGTTGAATATTACCATTGCAGTGGTGTTCTCTGCACTGGGAGTCATAGCAGCAGTTGCAGCAGTACGACAAATAGCTCTTGATGCCAAAACTTATCGGTTATTTGCTAATGTGTGATGATTAAAGCCAAGTTTATCACTGGCTCGCCCTGTATCTACTATAATGCTAGCTTCATTAAAGAAGGGAGAACCTGCTATGCCATCACATATTATCATCAATGGCTATTGTTCTTTAACGGGTGAACAAAAGCAATCTCCCAATGCCCCAAATCTATAGAATGAATTCAATGAAGCTGCAGAAAGATTCAAAATATTTGATTCAAATTGAAGTAATAAAGAATTTAAAACCACAGTTTGCTTGCCATTGAATTCTTCACAAGTTTAGAGCAGAAGATCATCGGTGAATCATCAGCTCCTTGCTCGTCAATATACAAACTGGTTAATCTAATTCTCATACAACATAATTGTGAAAAGTTCCTGTATCTCTTCATGTCAAGTTCCGAAACAACAGGGTCTTATGAAATAGGCCTAAGTCAGCCTATAGGTTTTAAACTAAAATATTACAGAAACAACAACAATATATAAATCCCAAATTTAATATATTAAGAACCAGAGTCAATGGCAAAAGTCTTGCATTGCTGCTGTAGAACTCCAATATGCTGCTCATTACTTCCTGAAGAAGCCTATGCCACTATGCAACACCTAAAAATAAATAAAAACAGAAAGTTAGATAAAAACAGAATTTTACTTGATCTCGCTGTCCAACCCGAATTGATGCTGGATTAAATGGATAGACTACATTCACAAAGAGCGAAAGAGAGGGACGAGAGGTTGAGGACAACAGGGATGATGCACCTTAGTCCTTTTATTGCATCTCAGGGACATCGGCATCAGTGTCTGGAGTCATCATCTCATCAGATTTGGGCTGTGAGGCTGGCGAGGTCTGCAAGTAGCCTGGACTAACACTTTGTGGAGAGGTAGAGTTGAAGTCCTCGTTTTCAGCAATCACGGTACCTGCTTTCACTGGATCGTCTTTCTGCGAGTTGTTTGGATCAACACGCTCTAGAGAAGCAGAGTTGAGGATATCGTTTTCAGCAACAACCTTATCTGATTCCATGGGACGTGCTCTCACAGGAACCGGTGCTGGGTCACAGTTCTCATCATCATCTGCCATTCCGGTAACTTGAATGGGGAGATTCACCATTTTTGAACTGGCAGAATCGTTGACTGATGTCGAACGTCCTGCTGAATACTTCCTTTTGATTCCACGACTGATGTTTTGCTTGAAACTGCCAACAACAAGCTGATGAACCCAAGGGAACACAAAATGAGTGCAAAAGTTACTATGAGTTGAATGAGTGTTAGATCTTTTTAGAATGATCAATCCAGGAAACAATCAATTTAAGTTAATAACACAGAGAGCTGCAATGATTAAAAGTAAGTAGTATCTACACATTAAGAGGAAGCTTAACTACAAGTAAAGTTAATAAGTTATATCCAATGATCAAGTGAATGAACAGTTTACTGCTCCAATCACAAACATGAAATCGGTCTTTTTATGTCCGCTTCTGTTGTTTCCAACAAAGGCATTTTGATTATCATTTGATTCCTGATATAGCAGATGGCACGTTATTCTTGGCTTATGTTAATATGTAGATTGGCAGGAAAGGTTTTACTTGGATAGGCCCAGGGCTTGCTGCTACCAGTGGACCTGCAACAGTTCCACCGAAAACTTGTCCATCACTATTAGCCAATGAAACACTCAGCAGACCATTTCTGCTGTGAGTGCGCAGTTCACCAGACACAACAGAAGAACCAGCGAGAGTAAGAATTTCAAACCATCCCTGCAATAAGGGGTGAAAATTAGTGTTCAACCCTTGTTGAATGCTACTAGTTCTGAAACAGCAAATTTTCACACTGAAACCATAAGGCAGAAATCAATTTAATGTAGCACATTTCTACACAGGAATATTCTTTGTTGCAAACTTTTTGTTTCCAATTATATAACAATGATCTCTTTGCACATCAAACATTTATAAATAAAAAAAAAACTCAGGATTTATTGTGAAAGAAGCAATGTTTGGATGAATATAAATAGACATAATGAATAAAAGGTAGCCGAACTATGTTAAACATAAACAAAAGGGCTATTCAAATGTTATAATCTTCTTGAACTAAGCTGTCTATATTGCATAATCTAGTAGCCGATGCCCAATATAGAATATATTAAAAACATAATGAACCCAGACTACTAGCTGCATGCAGAAATAAGAGCCACCAAAGTTCTTTTACAGCATTGACAATGAAGGCATCTTTCTAACTTTTCTTTTATCAAATGTATAACCTGTGAAACACTAAGAACTTCCAAGTTCACAGTTACGAGATAATGAAAATAATTATACAACTTGTGAACACTACATATCCTTTCTGCTTAGGATGGATGCACCCATGTATTGCAATTAGCTATGTCCATGATGAATTGTGCGGCCATACCTCATACGTCACACTTCCATCAGGTGTACCAGGCTTGCGCAGGGTAACACTGGAGACTGCACCACTAGCAGTAAGAACACAAACTGAACGAGGACCGGTTTCACAAAATGATCCTATCTTACTAACAATATCCTGTGAAGTTTAAAAACAAAAAAAACTTAGATAAAAGAAGACTAAGCAATAACTTAATTTTCACTTATATATATCTAACATTACCTCTCCTGGGAACACCGACAGTACATGGGGGGTAAAGCTTGCTCCAGCTGTGTCCATATATTCACCTTAATAAAAGAAGTTCAAGAGTGATAGTAAGGCATTTGATTAATTGAAGTGCATCAAGCCCCAGAGGACCTAAATTCTAGATTGAAAATGTGTCTTAAATGAAGCAAGCTCATTTATACTTACACCATATACACAAGTAAAGGAATGGGTTAGTCAAGGGGTGCACTATATCCACATTCTGTCCTTGCTTTGTTTCATTAAGTTACCTTAATTATGAACTTCAGAAGGCAGTAGCTGCCCATAAAGGAGCAAAACTGAGGCCCTCTTCACCTGATAATTAATTAGCAGAGACATAAAGCTATAGAGGTTAACTTCGTTGAGCCTCTCTGCTTGAGTAAATTGCAGCATTACCACATGTGGAACCTGCTTGTAGCTAGCTATGGCAAACGATCGAGATTCAAAAAGTTTGTCGACTAATATTCCTAATCAACTTCTCATACATTCTAAAAGAATATTAGCCTTGCTACGATCATGCCCAAATCTTGCATTTCAAACTTGTTTTATATTCAAAATGATATAGCAGATGCATAGAATAAATAATTATGTTTATTCAATCAAACAAAACTTGGAAAGGTAAAACACAGAAGCTCGATAATATTATGGGAAAAAAAATGCCCCCACTAATAAAATACTATGATTTACCTCAGCCATTCCAAATATTATTCAGTATCATCCACAAGTAATAAAATAACCCACTATTTATATGTGTAATTTGACAAATTATAAGAAACCTCTCACTGGTAAATCTGAGTACATGCAGTACTATTATTTATACGTATCACTTCAATTGAACTCAAGAAATATTTATAATACATATGTAGCCAATTAGTCACCAACCCTCTCAACTCCATATCCGCGGTGAAAAGTTTTAAGATTTACGAAACTGTGTATGGGTTTTACAAATGATCAAATGAATTAAACCAATAAACTAACATAATAAACGATAAAATATTGTAATTATGACATGCCAAACATATGTAAATCCAACGTTACAAAAGCAAAACCATAAAGCAAGTTTAAAAGAAAAGATACGAAATTAAAGTGTAAACATTAAAACTTTTAAGTATTTCAAATTGTTGGCAACAATATCTCACCATGAGAAGCCAAAGTCTGAAGCTTCCCAGTACCCTTAGGCCGCCCCCGAGCCCGTTTTGATGAAGAACTCGGCCTGGAAGAAGGCTGCGAAGACGCCGTTGCTGGTGGGAGAGGTTCCAAAGATCCAATGTTCGACACACCGTCAGTTGTCTCAGGCCTCGCCTTCCCTTTCTTCTTTTTGTTAATATTTTCTTGAACAGTTGCACCACCACCTGAGCCTTCTCCAGGCTCCGAAGCCCCTGTTTCATCAGCTGCAACTTGAAGCTCTCCTTGAACCTCCTCGCTCTCAGCGGAATTAACCTTTTCGGCGTTAACCTGAGACTCTTTCCTGTCATCAGAAGCAGAGTCATGGAATGGCGTTGTAGTTTTCTCCTCCATGAACACTTTTCAATGCAAAACCTGAAGAAACAAGGAGGGAAAAAAAGAACGTAAAAGATATGATATTGCAAAGGATTTCACTGTAAGAAAGAAGGCTAAAGAGGCTTGAAAAGCCAACGTTGGAGTGAACAGTAAGCGCCAGAAAATAGATCTTTGTGAAGCCTGGACAATACAGCAGAGAAGATGGGAGTGAACGTAATATTTTTGTACATATTTATATTTGGAGGAGCCGTTTTTCTTATATTCCAATAATACCCATTTAGAATTTTTTTTATTTATTAATTTGTAGGGTTTTATAAGAAAGAATGACAAAATTAAATTGTCAAAATATAATTTATTTTTTTACTAATTAATGGAAAGGGGATCTTTTGATTTATGAAATTAAAAATAAAATCACATTTATTAAGCAAACTTTTATGATTATTATAGATTTTTTTTATTGTAATTATGAGATATCATTTCCAAATATATTAACTAAATATTGGAAATATATTTATTATTGGTCGCGTTAATTATATTTAGGAATTTGTTTTGAGTTTTTAAGAAATAATTTGTTACAGTTGTAATGACCACAAAACTAAAACCACGTGTAAAATTTTCGCTATGAATAATTAAAATTATGATATTGTACAGCGAAGATACTAAAAATTTGAATCAACTTTGACAAGTTATGATTTTACATGAGCATATAATGAAAACGATAAGCTCAAAAAACTTTAAATTTTATTTGTAATGATAAATTTGACTACAATTTTTTTTCAAATCAATTTTACTCCTTGAGATACATGAATTTTTAACATTGAAGTTATAATGCTTCACTGTCACATAATTATCGTACAATTACATCACAAGTGAGATAAGATTTATCAAGTTGGAGAAAATTACCTTTCATTACATAACTCAATATCATATGCATCAAAAAATATAATTAGAACCATATATAAAATATAGTCTATAAAAGTTGGTTTTAAAATTTTAATGTGTAACTCTTTGTCTTCTATATGTAAATATTAAAAGAATTACAAATTCTTATAAAAAAGTAACAATTATGGTTGTGAAAAGTGAATACTTGTATTACGAATCTTATATTAATAAGAGATTAAATAAATTTTAAATTTATAAATAAAAATATTTTTTTAATATATAGATATATTTTTTAAATTAAAAATATGAACTCATAATAAATAATATTAAAACTGACTCAAATTCACTAACGCGGAACCAGTGTAAGAATCCCTCTATCCATAGACTCGGAGACTAGGGTTAAAGAGAAGTCTAAGGAAGTGTAAGGATTCCTCTCCCCATATACCCGGGGACCAAGGTTAAAGACGGAGATCAAGGGTAAACAGAAGCGTAAGGATCCCTCTAACCATACCCAGGGAGACCCAACCGGGGGTAAAAAGAAGTGTTAGGATCCCTCCACCAGTACCTAGGAAGACCAGACTAAGGGCAAAGAAAACCCATAGACCCGTGTGAGGATTGCTTTACCCATAGACCCTTTGTAAGGATCCCTCTGCCTATAAACCTGGACCAAGGGTAAAGAGCTAGTGAATATCTCTAATAGTTAAAGATGACCGGTGTAAGGATTCTTTTACCCATAAACCAATTAGTGAACATCTCTGAGAAAATATTGCTCTACCCATACACCCAAACCAGCTAGTGAACGTCTCTAAGAGTTAGGGCAAATAAGGTGAATCTTGAGTTTATAAACAAAGATTTTCTTCCCATTAATAAATATGTCTTTTAAATTAAAAATGTAAATTCTTGACATTTGTTTGACTAAGAGCTAGCATTTGTTGTTCTTGTTTTGGGTTTGTTGGGATATTTAATGTTGATTGTTTCTTTTGGGCTTCTGATTTTTTGTATGTCTACAAGGCCCTTTGGAATTTTATTCAATAAGTGTACCATTTATATTAAGATTGGGCTGTACATTTCGACCTCTAGCGGGCTTTTAGGGAGAAGTTTGCGATCATTTTCAATTTAGTCAGTAAAAATACTAAAATTGGATAAAATTGTAGTATCCATAGCGTACATTCATATATTCCTCATTCTTGCCAAAAAAAGTCATATATTCTTAACTCCGGTGACAATAGAAGCTTAAGGGGAAAAGAAAAGAACAACTCAGCTGCGAAGGGCAAGCTTTGTTTCAGTTTATTTCAGATCTGTTATACAAAATTGGAGATATGATACTGCTAACAGCATTCAAAAGAAAGCTGTAAAACATTCCACATTTGTCAATCCATATCATCTAAATGTCCAAATTGCTGCTTCCAGTGAGACCGTGCTTCTTCAGGTGTCCGAAAAGTCCAGATGTGAGACTCGGCTCTCTCACGAGTTTCCAGAATTTCCTGTATTCAGCAGGTCCAGTTCGTTACTTTTGAGCAGAGCAGAAGGAAAAATGCAAAAGTGTAATTTGAAGTTTTCTCTAGGTGGAAAAACCAAATACTTAAGCAGGCACTAAGCCTGTCCACAGCACCTTGAGTCAGCCGTTCCATTCACACAAATGTTATCATATTAAGCATTCAAAATAAAAATGCTAAATTTTCTTATTCCCCCAGGAAATAAATTCTTTAGTATAAACACTATCATATAGTATTATACATAAACAGGCAAGCTTAGGCCTCAGGACTTCTTTTTGCCATATCACTAACTTTCTTCACCGTCACATGTATCAAGGGGCTTCGGGTTTTCCACTTAAAAAGGCACGATATTGGTGTCTTACCTCTTCATCTAGAAAATAATTGTACTACCTCTGTCCCAATTTCTTCACTCATCTTTCCTTTGTTGAATATCCCAAAATTGTGTACTTTCCTTCTTTAAACACTTAATTCTCTTACTTTTTTATATTATAAAACTATTCTTTTATGATACTCCTTTTTTTTTTTTTTACATTTTGGCATTAAAAATCATGTTACATCAATTTTATAAACAAACATTTAAACTCTTAACATAAATTACACTAAAATTGAAGTTTTTTTATTATACTTCGAGAAAGTCAAATAGGGGCAAGCAAAATGTGACAGGGGGAGTATTTATTTATTTTTACTCTTACCATTATTATTAGAATTTCCACACTCCTTACATCCTGTGTACCCAAATTATTTGAACCACTACAGCATCTAAAAGAACACAATCACCTTTTTAACTTAGATGTCATGATGATCCTCTCCACTCTTACAACTTCCTCCGTCATACCCAGCTTAGCCATTTAATCATTATTCATCTTTCGTTTTCCACTTTATACTTTAAGCAGAAGGTTTTGATTGTCACTAAGGATAAGGTTAAATCCTTTTAACCTTGCTAAACATTTCAAAACTTTATTCATTATTGAAGAGATAAATTTGCAGCATATGAAGCGTAGCTCTAAGTTATCAGTTGACACCTGACATATCTATATCTTTTTCGCGATACATCTGTGTTCTACGGCATTATTTACAATTTCTAAGTATCCAGGAGTTAGGATCTTACACCAAGTACTTTTACTTCTTATTCCTAATGTGAATTGGTCGAATAAATTCTGAAACATTTCTAATTACTTTTAGCTAATGTAGCACAATTCAAGCATAAAGCAACTAGTTTCCAGAATAAAATTCAACCTTCAACCTTAATGAGCAAACTTCTAAGCTGCTGAGATTTCGAAAAAGTGCAATCAGAACTAAACTTCATAAGAATTTTTTGCATTCAAGCATCTAATCAGTTGAAATGGCATTCATTACCAAACAATATGAAAATAATGGATCGCTGACCAGATTAAGCCTTCATTTTTCTTTCTTAATATCTTTGCAATTTTGATTCTTGTAGAGGCATATTAGAACAATTGTTTCTTTAATCTTTTCCATCATGAAGTAATTAACTCCTATTTCCACTGCGTCTTAAAGCAAAGGAGAAAGGTTGCAAAGAAATTCAAATAAAAAGGAAATAATTATAAAAAAAATAACAAGAGAGAGAAAAGGAAAGCTACCTGGAGTTGAGAAGAGGGCTTGGTTTTCAAAGACAAACAATCCCAAAGAGCATTCCATTTTCCAGAACAATTGTCAAGCACTCCCAGCCTATAATATTGCTGCATTTGATGAACCGGAGCTGCCCAGAGGATTTTAATAAATCAGATTTTTAAAAAAAGGAACATCTACAAATAAATAAATAAATAAATAAATTGGACGGAAAATCGAAATTCAAGATTCCACAATTAAGGAAAGCAGAGGAGGGCGTTACAATAGCAGAACCAAAGAGCGTCGAAGCATTTGGAGCAGGATAAACGACGATGCGAAGTGGAGGATTCCTTCTCTACACTCATCTCCACCAAACTTAACCGCTATGCTGATCTTGGCACCCCTCGTACCTTTCTTTGTTCTTGTTTTGCTTTCCAAAAGTGAAGGGAAAATTACCCAAAAGAAAAAAAGGTTCATTTTGGCGTCTATGGATGGGGCTTTTGCGCATTTTGGCAAATTGGGCTCCATCAAGGTCCAGTTTTGGACAGAGTTGGGCTTGGGATATGAAACCCTAGACCCACTTTGCATGACTAAGAAAAGATTTTTGCGCTGAACGCTGAAGAAGTTTTCCAGGACCCAAGAAAAGATGGTTGTTCATGGTAGAGTATCAAAGGACTCCCATGACCAGGAATTCTAATAAGCAACAGGTCAGTAATGAAAATTTGGTAAATAATGTTTCTTCTTGCCTTGATTTATGTAGAATCCCAAAGGGTTTACTTGCGCTTTCTGTTGAAAATGCCAGTTTAAGTTTCTGTTAAGAATTAAAACAGCTAAACAGCTCTTCAAATTGATGATCCAAAATTCAAATATGTATAAACTATGATTTTCTCACTTGCAAATGGGACGTAAAGAACAGCTAAGAAACATTGATGCAATCGATGATCAGAAAGTAATAATAATACACTAGTGGCTACATTGAATCAACATTATAATGAACCTGAACTTAAAACGTACTGGTTTCATCTTTTACATGCCAGAGGTTGCGTTCTGCTATATACAAAGCACCTACTGGCCCATGGATAGGTCATTAATCCCTAAATTTTAACGCCCAGATTATAAAAAAATTAGTAACCCTGACCAACACATGGTTAGCATCTCTATGGCTTAAGCTGTGATCAGCCCTCAATCTTGGCTAAAAACTTTAATCACGTTGAATCATTATGCTCCAAAGTCCACCTGCTTCCCCAGTGCCATCCAAGATTGCGAGGTCCCAAAATACTTGATTTCAAGAATTATAAAAGCTATGGGTATATCCATACAAGAGAAGTGAAACAAAGATCTGCATCTTCTTAAATGGTTTTTAAGTGAAAAGCATTTTCAGTTCCTCAATACGGGCTGTTCGTACTTCTTGATCAGTTAAGGCACCGGATATCATCCTTTGCTTGCGTGCTTGCACTGCTTCCATTCTTTCCTCCACTGTTCCCTGCCATCACATCCGTCAAAGAAAAGCAGAATCGAAGCAAAAGAAAAAATGTGAGAACAATGCAAATGCTAGGTTCCAATATTCAATGTTTGTGACATGGCATGATGATTTAAATTCAAAGTTTCAGCTGAATTGTAAGTTTAACCTGTCAAGCACCTAAGGCACAAAAAACAGGGCAGCACACAAATGGCAATTTCAATGCAGTTGAACAAGGTTCTAGCGTATATAGCTTCTTTCAAATGGACAAATTTATACCTTGACAATGAACCTTTTGATTGCTACTCTTTTAGTCTGCCCAATGCGATGGATGCGCATGACAGCTTGTTCCTCTACAGCTGGATTCCACCATGGATCCTGCATAAAAGTGAATCCTTACTTGTCAATCATCAATAAGCAATTACCCAAGCACAACACAGAGAAAATAAGTCAGCTATATCATTTCTTATTACTATGCTTAAAATTTGCTGAATGATACCAAAACTAGATGTGACTCTTCATCAAATATCACAAAATGAAAAGCACCAAAAATGATTGCACTTATTTAATAAGAAGCAGAGTACAATACTTATGTGTTCTACATACCAAGACAAAGGCATTGGAAGCTGCAGTTAGGTTAATTCCAACCCCACCAGCCTTCAATGACATCAACAACACCTGATCCAACAATGAAGCTAAAGATAAAAGTCAAGCTATCTAAAGAACTAGTAAATCAAACTTCATCCAGGAAAATTTTGTCACCAACCTTGATGTTGCTATCTTCTGAAAATTGTTTTATTACTTTTTCACGCTGCTGTTGATTCAAAGTCCCATCCAGTCGAAGAAAGGGAATGTTACTCCTGGACATTAATAAGAATTATACTAATATGAGCAACATAAGTGAAAGATGAGTAGAATAGTTACAAGAAAGACAACTAAATCATTGTCTATTCATGATGAACAAGGTCAAAACGCTTGCTAGGGCATAGCAACAGAGTAGGGAGGTGAGGAAGAAAGGAGCTGACAAAAGCATGCCATGCCAATGTGCCATCTTTGACCTAGTTAAACATTGTTTGCATCAAATCAACTTGAACAAGATTCAGACTATTCAAATTCTGTTATATGTGCACTTACATCACTCGATCAGTAATAAAACCAAGTTCAATGAGATTTTGACTTCAGGTTTGTCAATTTTGATAAATGAATTGTTTAAGCGCTCCTCCAAATCGTAAAAATATAGACAATGCATAATTCTGCTTTTATGAAAGAAATACCAATTTGAGACAATTGATGAGCTTCAACCGGATATTACCTACAAATGTTACATCAGTTGGAAACAATTACCGAGTAAGAGGAATCTGCAAGAGGTCCAAAAATGCAGTCCACTGGCTGAACAAGATGCTCTTAGAGCCTGACAAACGAAGATTTTCAAGTTCTTTCAACAAAACAACAACCTTAGTTGACTCCACCCAATTTTTCTCAACATCAATCTGGAACCGACTCTCAGTTGGGGCTGTAATAAGATCTTGCCTAGCAACAGTTTTTCTGTATGGTAAAAAAAAATAACTCTCCAAGAATAAAAATTTCATAGATTCATCTTAAACTTAATCTGAGGCCATAAAAGTCCAAACAAAAGTTTAAAAAAAAGCTGTTCAAGATACCTACAAACAGGACATAAACCAGAATTTGGATTTCGCCAACTTGCCAAGAGGCACTCACGGCATAAGCGGTGAGCACATGGAGTCAGTACAGCATCTTCAAAAGCTTCAAGACATATTGGACACTCTCCTTGTTCCCCCTTGCGCAGCTCTTCAACCACCTCTTGAACAAATGCCCTCGAAGGCAAATCTTTGGCTTCCCCTTCCAGGGTATTCTGGCCACCTCTAAGGAATCGTTTAGCTAGCTTATTCAGATCTGAGTAATCTTGTGTATCTCCCCGGCTAGACACATCAAAATTACCCATCACCATTCAAAGACAATGTTTGCTTATCTTATAAAAGATACAATTAATGTTACTCATAAGAATGAAGAAACAGTTGCATTTTGCATCTGTTTTAGCTATTGACTTTTAGGTTGTAAAATAAATAATCCAAGAAACCACAATCCTTAAGGTATTGCCTAAATAATGACAAAAATATCAAAGACAATGATAATAGTAAGGATGACCACAAAGTCAAATCAACTCAGCAACCAAATCCATATAATAAGTTACAGCTGGATATCAGCAAAGAAAAGGGCTGTCAAACTCCTTAAAAATTCAGGAGACAAAATTTTTTGAGTATAGATCTTCCAAACTAGTCCTGTCAATAAACTTAATTTGAGCAATGGAGATTCTTTATAAGCTTTAGACTGGCTAGTTAGAATAGACAGCCATCATCATCATTATCATCATCACAATCACACTAATAAAAACCAGAATGGGAGGGAATAAAGGTAAGCAGCAGACCTCATCACAAGGAATGGATGATCACAACATTGACGTAAACGTAGAAGTAACTCCAAAATAGAAGCATAATTATGAAGAACACGTCCTTGCTCAACAAATTGATCAAACTTCACCTGAACAGATACCCACCAACACATAAAAGTTATAAACTATAAAGGCATCATGAAATGTAAATGAAACCAATAGATAAATAAAATTATACCTTTGATCTTTTAAATAGGGCTTCATAAAAGTCTTTTTCAGCTTCAGTGAGCTCACAGTAAATCACCTGAACATCAGCTGGAGGGAGAACTAGAATTGGCCTATAACAAACAAAAATTTAGGGGCATAATCTATAAAAAGCCCAAATGAGACAACTAAGTATACTTAGCCAGTATACTCACTTGCCATCTCTATCTGTGCTACACTTTGTTCGCCTTAACATGATTGGCTTTAAGATTGACTGAACCAACTTTAGCCCTCTCTCATCACCCTCCTCGAATGGTTTTTGAATGAGTTTGTTCCACCTAAACCATAGCTAGTTAGCTAAATACTGTGAGATATACAAAATTCAGAGAACCTTTTTTGGCACAGAAAATTCAAAGAATCAGCTTTAAAATAGCCTAAAAATGCATTTGCCATATTAACAGATATATAGAAGCATACTAGAGAAGCGTTTCATGTATTGCACAGGTAATGTTAATGTTCAACATGAATACATACAGTTAAAAAGTTGCTCTGTCTTAGAACCAAAGAGAAATAAATGTGAATTATAAAGGTAATGTAATAACAATCATATTCAATTTTACTGTTTCAGTCCAACTATAAAGGAGATACTTAAGATCATATCCTACATTTTCCAACAAACAAGTTACGAAAAACTTACCAGGGCCAGTTTCCCCAAGGTTCCACCCTCAAAAACCGGAGAAGACTGTATAAATCCTCCAGCTTGTTCTGTGACAATAAAATTTTCTAGTTAGGATGCATATAAAATTAATTTAAATATCACAAAGCATAAAGCTCTATGAACCAATATATGTGTAATGAAAAATTTTTGAGTCAGCATGAAGAAAACATATACTGATAGGGACAAGCAAATAGTATTACCCTTCACATTTTCCAATATATAACAGAAATCTACTTCTCCAGCATCATAACTACAACAAATAGCTTGAGAAACAATTACCACAAAGCAAAGAAAGCTCTGCTTCAAGCACAAAACAATAAATGTGAATTTTAACACTTAGCATATGATTATGTAGTTAAGACCAAAACTTCATCTCTAAATCTGAAGAAATCAATTCTCTCTGCTTCAAGCACAAAACAATAAACACATACAAATTTTAGAACTTAGCATATGATTAAGTAGTTAAGGCTGAAATTCATCTCTATATCTGAAAGAAATCAATAGACTGCATCAATCAAAGATTCCATAATCATTAGATAGAAATTCGTTCAAATTTTGATGAGTATAGATTCTTGACAACAATGCATGACGGAAATGGAAAGCACTCAATATTTGTACCAATAGGTATAGACGTTTCATAAGTATTACATGTCACACATCACTCAATATTTATACCCAAGGTATATTAAGCAAATGGAAACCACTCACTCACTATAAGGAAACGGGCCAAGGATCCTTAATGTAGGATCATTATTTAGAGAATTAGAGCTTTATCAGGATTTCATTTTACAATAAGGGTTATATTGGCAATTTCCTATTTAGATTATTGTTTTATGGGCTCTAAGATACAAACACTTTAGTTTTTAATTTTCATTCAGCTTTTGGAATACTGTACTCTCTTGTTTCCTCTTCTTCCTAGCTTTATTCTTTTTCTTTGTCTAGTTCTTCTCTTCCTACCCTTTCCCTCTGTGCTGTTATTTTCTCTCCCCATCGCCTTCTCTCTCTCTCTCCACATTCTATTCCTCTCCAACATGTACTATTTACTAGAATGGGTGAGGCAGTTGCTCAGCCAATATAACAAGAGAGGAAAATGTAAGAAAAATCAATACATACTCAGAAATTTTCTCCTTTTACTTCCATACATGAAAAAAAGTGGGATAAAAGGAAACCTAAATAACAAAAACTTGCTATACCCATTCAAGAAATATTTAAAACCAAAGGATGACTTTACATATTTTTCTAAAATGCTATCACCTGGATTGGAGTGCCAGTGAGACACCAGCGACGATCAGCAACTAAAGCAGTGGCAGCCATGGAAATTTGACTTTTAGAGGACTTTATGGTATGTGCTTCATCAAGAACAACCCTGAACCACTGAACTGAGTATAGTCCTCCATTATCTTCAGAATTCTAAAAAACAAACGACAAGTCACTTTTTACTTATGTGTAAAATATGAAGCAATTTCAATAATAATAAAAGTAAAATTCTTCAACCACCTCTGCTGAAAATTCTGAAGCTAGAACTCCATATGTAGTAATTACAACATCATTCTGCGCAAGAAGTTTTGCATCCTTTGGCCTACTTTGTCCATAATGAACATATAAAGACAAAGACCCTGGTTGCACATGAGTTTCAATCTCTGCCTGACAATACCCAAATGTTTAGAGCCAAACTCAATAACAGAAAAGTGAAGAATTAAGCAGATACTCCATAAATATTAACAGAACTGCTGAATTCAAAATATGAGATGTTACTATAAGCAAAAAATCCAGATGTTACTACAAGGTAAAAATCATAAAGTGAATATACATCAAAACTGAAAAAGCAAACCTTCCATTGGCCAAGAAGAGTCATAGGACATATGATCAGATTGCCCCCATTTACATGTTTGTTCTTTTGCTTCAACAACATATCAAAGTCAGGGAATTTTGTTGCATTTTTCACGGAATTTGGTGATTGGCCAAAAATATTACTGACTTCACCACCTTGATCAGAAGACTGATCTGGGGATTGACTATCTGATAAACCACCTCTTTCTGAATAGGTTACTAGGAGGGATATTGTCATGATTGTCTTCCCAAGCCCCATAGCATCCGCCAGAATCTTCAAAAATAAAGGAAGTTAAGATGCAGTAAAAATGTAACAGGAGGGAACTAAATTATGTAGACAGAAAAAATGGTAAGGGCATACTCCTCCTCTAGCCATTTGATTTGTGCTTGGGAATTCTATTGTAGCATCACCAGTAAACACATTCAAGTATACAACAGGCTCCCTCCTATAAAAAAGGTACCCCTTTAACATCCATTAACACGATAAGTGGAAGTAATCAGCTATAAAGATCTTATGACGTACTTATCTGCTAAGCGATACGCTTCCCAGCAAGGGTGAAGGGTTGTAGCTGCCTCATCCAAGCAATGTCCCTTCTCCACCTGAATCATCCAGTGGAGGGCCTGCTTTTGGTAAGGACGAAGTTCACACTGGAGAATGCCAGGGGGATCCATTTCCTAAAACACAAAAATTGCCGTGTGATTTCACCTATCATTAGTAATGGCATGCACCATGAACCCTTTTCAAAAATGGCAATACCTCTAACTCAGAGTTATCTCCAACACCAACAATATTATCAAGATCAGCATCAGAGATGGACTCCTCATTTTCAACCTCAATTCCACTTTGAGATTGATTCTTAAACCTGTTTGTAGGTAACAATGGGGTATGAAGACCAGAACCATCCTGTTTGCATAATATCATTCAGGAACTCGACTACTGAAAAACCACTACTATTGAAATAGTAAATATAACTATTATTTATTTATTTTCCTACCTTTGTTTCCAAGGGTCGCTTCTTTGTATACAAATCACCAGGAGCTAATTCTGCCTAATTATCATAAAACAACAATAAAGACATTGCTCATTGAAATATTTGAGAGAAAAACATGGTACAATACACACACGAGCAATATTTTGCTTATTTCATGATAATTATATCGACAAGGTAACCACAACCAAAACAATACATCAAAACTTAAGCAAACCATTACCTTCTTAAAGGGGGTTAAGCCAAGCAACCGGAACAAATTTGGGAGAGGGTGAACAACAGATTCCTCAGTGGAAGTGCTGGCTGCCTTGAGTGAAGTCTGCTGATACTTATGTAACATGGAACTATTAATGTACACACTGAATCAAACCAAAGATTTACAGTCATCAAAACCAGATTTAGTAACAAACTAACAAAGAGTAAACTTTCAAACTAACCACACCTTAAAGATAAAACAATAGTATCCATAATACCCAACACATCCGGAGCTGATTTACACTGTCCCTCAACTTTAACCTTTTTATCCCTCACAAGAGGCAACAAACATCGTGCCCACTCATTGGGTATTCTACCAATCTGCCAAAACAATCAAATGCATTTTAAATTTTTATATTTCAAAAATATTATTTCTTTTACATTCAAATGCCATTTTTTGCTTCCATAAATAAAAAGTAAGTAGAAAAAAAATAAGTGACTGATTACTAAAATTTCAAATCAAGTTTTTTACCTCCCCAGAGTTCTTGGTAGAGAACCTAACAATCTCTGAACAAGCCGCTGCCGCTAGCCTTCCTCTCCCAAAACCTTTCCCCACTGGCCCAGCCGGACTCGGGCTGCTACGCTTTAATGGAAACGTGAAACAAACTTCATCCCCGGCCTTCACTTTCCTCCCTTTACTCGTTGAAAGTCCGGGTACTTCGCTGGAGCCCACAAGCCACCAGTCATTTTCAACCGTAACATTCTCTTCATCTTCCACAATACTTGCACCACAAGTAACATTTCCATTACTACTACAACTAGAATTCTTACAATCTTTACCCGTTTTCTTCGGCTTCACACTAACCGACGTCGTATGGGAGCTCGAATGTCGAGTCTCGGGTTCAGGTTGTTTCTCTCGGGGCTTTAAATTGAGAGGCGAGTCCAAAATTATGTTGATGGCAGCGTTGGCGTCGTTTTTGGCCAAGTGTAGGGCTCTGATTATGTCCATCTCGGAATGCTCTAATCCGACGATTGATTGAACGGTTTTAATGAGAGCCTCCGTCTCCTTGCTTCCTCCCATCGGGTTATCCCTTAAAACCCTAACCCTAGCCTCGAATTAATCCAACTTGGGCGATTTTTATTTTCGGTAGTTCGGAGGAGATAGTTCCGCCGTAGGCGACCGAGAGAAGGGGATTTGAATTTTAAGGGCCAATGCTAAAATGCGGGGCGGTGCATGTTATCGGAAAGGCGGGTATGCTTTAGAGATGGCGGGAGAGCGTCACTGAAAATTAAAGGGCACAACCAGATGACAAAGATGAAGTGTGTGATATACAGCTGACGCGTCACCTTTTCCCGCCACTTTTATATAGTGCAATGGGGGTCTGCCTCTACCGCTTTTTTTGTTTTGTTTTCTTTTTCCTTTTTCCGCCTTTGGAAAAGCTTCGAGCTTGTGCTTTTAGTTGTTAGGAGTATTTTGGGATAGATATAGAATATAATATGATTTACAATTAAATTACTTTAATTGAATCACAAATGACTCTATCATTTAGTAAAATTACGTGGTCAAATGATTGACTCTCCAACATTGAAGCATTAAGCTTTTTATTTGTATTACTATTTAAAGTAATAATGATTATTGTTATAATTGAAAAAAAAAATTTTAAATTTTATTTTTAGATAAAAAAATCATAGCTAAATACTCTGGTGCAATAATGATTATTGTTTTACTTTCATATTTAATGTAATACGAATGCAATTAAAATTATATGTACTATTAGTCTAATTAATATATTGTATTTTGAGTTTAGGGTTTTATGGTAAGGGAGTTAAATGAAATTTTATAAATGTTAAAGGATACTTTAGTTTTTTAATCTTTTTTATGAAATTTATAATTAGTTAAAAGATTCAAGGCATAATGTAATGCTCGAAAAAGTTTTTAATTTATTTAAATAAATTTTATTTTTTTTATTATATTTAATTAAATTTTTATAATTTTATGTTAAATTTAATAAGTCTTTATGAATAATAGTTGATTAATTTTTATTAATTCAAATGTCACTTATCATTTTATATTTATATAAAAATATCATATGGTCTTGTTATTATGGCATATTAATATATCGCATCATTATCAATTATGATATATATATGCTACATCATCATTAATTATAAACATCAACATGTTATGTCAGCGTTACAAAATACAAAATAACAAATGACATTTTGACTAAGTTAACCATTAATTATTAGGTTTATTTGACTCAAAATAAAACTATAAAAATTTGATTATACATGATAAAATAATAAGAGCTTATTTAAATTTTTTTAAAAAGTTTAACGATGTCTTTTTTAAGTATTATGCATTATCATAATGATTTTATGTCTTTTAGCATGGCTCTTTAAGGCATTTTGACTACTTAGATTTCTTTTATGACATCATCATAGACAATCCCTTTTCATCTAATGTCATTTTTTTGGTAAATTTCAAGAATAATTTGAGTAAAATAATTTTCAAATAATATGTCCAATTTTAAATTTTAAACTTTTTATGTTTAATTTAATTAGGCCTTAATTGGATTGTTATGAGCTTAATTAAATAGAACAATTAGATCTTGAGCTAGATGATCCAAATTGCAATAAACCCAATATTGTGGAAAAATATAAAAATATAGTAATACAAAAAAAATCCCAAAATACAAAAATCCTTAACAAAGAAATAAAAATTTGAAAAAAAAATCTAAAAATCTATCAAAAGGGAAAAAATGGAATTTGCCCTTATCCCATATTCTTTGATTTTATTCTTCTCTAATTTTTTAGATCTCTATGATCTTATCATTTCTAATTTCTCAAATTTCTTCAATTTTCTCACTTCCAAAGTTTTGGATCGATTTGATTTTTTTATCCTTGTCTTTTTGGATTAGAGGGGATAGGACCCCATCCTTTAACAACAACAAACACAAGAATCATACACAATAAATGCAACCCTAGGAGATAAAAAACTTACAAGGTTAATGTTTTCATATTTGAGGTTTTGGGGGGAGTTTTTGAATATTTCAATTTATGAAAAGGTGACAAAAAGGTAAAAGAGGCAAAAAAGGAGTTTTTTTGCGAAGATCAACAATCAATAATGGTAGATTTAGGTTTTTAGCAACCTTGTTTTTTTTTTATTTGAAAAAACATGAGTTAATTTTGGAAAATGTACTCCAATTAAAAGAAAAAAGTTATATAAGAATCAAGGATAGTGTTTTTTGTAGTTTCAATTAGTGACACGGTGGTCAAGATTTGAGATTGTAAAAGAATTAAAGAGAGAGGAGAGAAAAGTGAAAGGTAGAAAGAAAGGAGAATAGAAAAAATAATGGTTGATGTTACACATCCCACATAGGATGGGTCTTAGACTTATAAATAAAAGTCTTATTCCATCTACTAGACATATTTTTTGAGTTAAAAATGTAGATCCGTAACAAATGGTATCAAAACAAACTCAATTTTCCTCAAGAGAGATACTAAGGTCGAAGTATACCTCGACCAAGATAAAGTCTCTCTCTTCTATGGGTAAAAGAGTGTTATACAATTGAGTAGGATAAAATGTCACGAATCTAAATTCTTAAAAGATAAGATGAGTTTTTAAGGTTATAAGTAAAGGCTTTTATTCACCTAATATGTATGTTTGTTGGGTTGAAAATGTGGGTTTGTTACAATTGATATGTCATGTTAGGGAGAAGCACAAAAAGAAAAAAGAACAAAAGTAGAGTGAAGTTAACCTGAACTAGATCAAGATACCCATTAATAGCCCAATGTGTGTGGTAAGCTCATGAAGGTTTTAGCCTAATACATTTGGGCTTGTTTCTTTATTCAAGAATAACATTTGTGTCTACAATTTGATAATCTAGTTTACATATGACAAGTTGAAAATAAAATTAATAAGTGACCAACCCCATATGTTTTAAGAATTAACAATCAATGGGTGCCTTTAAATTTTTTAAGATAATGTGTGAATTCCTTTTTCTATAAGTCATACTCATTCACAATCAATCAAAGAGTGTCCTAAGTTAAACCCCAAGTACATAAGAATCTAACAAAATCAACATTAATAAAATGCACTCATTTTATGAATCGTGACTCATATAAAGTTTTAGGAAAATAGCAAAAAAAAAAAATCAATACTATTCCCTTAGAGAATCCTTCCTCCTTAATATAAGGAGATATAAGAAGTTTATGTTTAAAACGGGTGTGGAAAATAGATGCTTAAATGAAGAAACAAAATGCAAAAGACAATATTGTTTTGGATCCTCCAAACACATTAACACAACAAAAGTACTCCTTTTTGTTATAGAAACAACAATAAAGTTACTCTTTTTTGTTATAAAAACAATAATTAATTACCAATAAACAGTCAAAGTATTTTTTTTTAATCATTAAAGATACATCAACATAGATTTGTTACACATAATGGCCCAACTACCAAAAAGGAAATCTACACCTTATCCACCCTAATTCATAAGAAAAATACATCATTAAAGATTAGGAAGAAATTGAAAAAAGATCACCACCACACCACCATGCAAGATACATATTCTTTCTACCAACACCAAATTTTGCTAAGGAATTCACCAAGGTGTTTTCTTCCCTATAAGTATGAATAAATTTGAACTATCCCCCCATGTTCTTAAGGAAGCTGTCAATTTCATTGAAGATTTGCCACCATTTCCATGGATGCTATTCCATCTTAATTAGCCAAGTAATCACAACTTTCGAGTTCGATTCACAATTAATTTGAATTTTCCAACGAAAGATGAGGAAACGAAAACCTTGAGTGCATATTTTGTAGCCATCAACTTAGCATAATTGGATTCAAGCACACTTAAAAGGTCAAAGAATAACCCTTTAATCACCCTTTTTGCATCCCACAATAATGTAATGTTGATAACACAGTGATCAGATAGCTATTGATGAAATCTTCAAATTGCATTTATCTATTGATGGTGTTTATCCTTAATAACACCGTCACAACCCAAAAGGCCAGGCTTTCCCCTAGTTGACCCAACAACATTAAATTTCATGTTATGTCCATTTTGTGAAGACTAAAAAACCAACACTTCTCTTCTCTACCAATTTAGAAAAGGTCCCACACTTCCATGGCTCAATCCACCAACTGATATCATCAAAGTCTACATCCCCTTCAATTGCTTTTACTTAAAACAGTGATTTCATTTTAATGAGAAAGAGGATTTCTCTCATGTCCCATGATTTATCATTAAAGGTGGTCTCATTCCTTGCCAACCAAAATAACCACCTTGTTGCCTCACAAATCATCAATCATATTTTCTTCAAGATTTCCACAAAATGGTAGCCTTCCAAGCTTTAACAAAGAATTCCATAGTGTTTGATAAGACCCATTATATCCCCCACCATTGAAGAACTTGACACCATACAATCCAAGAAAAATAGCAAAGAAACAGCACATGGGTATAGTCCTCATCAAACAAACCACACCAAGCACGTAAACACATATCCTTGTCAAAATTCACCTCATAATTACATGAGAAACACTTAGTTAGAACCTTGTTAAGAATAACAAGCCAAATAAAACATTGAACTTTTAGAAGGATTGAAAGCTTTCAAATTGAGAAAAACCATACCTTGTGCTCCTTAATACTTAATGGTGCCTCTAATTTTGCTGCGAACTTTTTTACTGAAGAGACTCCATGTGTATCTCATTTCCACACTAAATGATCCTTTTATAATAGTAACCTCCTTACGCTTGTCAAAAAGGTTAGAGAAAGCATTTTCCTTCCACACAAAGACGTCAAAAAGTTAATTATCCATTATCCCTTACACTAAACATTTACCATCTTAGCTTCAGTGTCGACGGGTGGGTAAAGCCACAAAAGCAAGGGCTTTTGGCTTTATATTTAAGGAGACCTCATAATTTTATAATAATTACATTAAAAATATACAAAAATTAAGACAATTAATAAAATATCTATCTATTCTCTTATACCTAATAAATATCTATTTTCTCTCATCTCTACATCCTTATTAATTCTCAACTATTTATCTCATTTCCTATTAAAAATATGTAAAAGTCAAAGATAATTAATAAATGACATATTTTTTCATTTTTCTAATTATGTGCCTAATAAATCTCAATTTTTTATTATATCCTAATTCTTATAATGCCATTAATTCTTAACTATTTCTCCTATTTCCAATCAACCAACGGTAATATGTATTTTATATCCAATAGCTAGTTTTTCTCACCTATTCCTCTCACTTGCAATCAACTAATAGTAAAATGTATTTAATGATCTCCAACTGCTATTCTTTTCTTATATATAAAATAAATTTA